GGTCAGGCAACGTCACCTGAGGTCACGAAGCGTCGGGTAGGCTGCGGTTACCCTTTGAGTCGGAGATGTCAGTGGATCGTATCGAAGGTCCTCAAGGTCAGCCAAGGGCCCTGGGGTCGCCCACTCAAACTAAACTCAGGGTGGCCCAAGGTCGCTAACGGTCACCAAAGCCGGTTCAAGGTCGCTGGAGGTCAGTAGAGTCTGTCATCCGGCCTTGGTAATTGAAGTGGCCGGAAGCGTATTGCGCCGGCGTTGTCGGCGGCCAGCGGCAGGAGGCCGGTGCTCCGCTACGCAGGCCTGGCCGCGGCCAGGCCGGTACCGCTATGAGTGACGGCCGGGCGCGCGTGCCGCGCGCCCGTTTCCGTAGATTGATGCGTGGTCGACTGCTGTCTGCGGGGACGGTGGAGCGCCGGGCGGGGCGGGAGCGGCGACGACAGCGGACCGCCGGGCGCGCGCACCAGGCCAGGCTGGAGGGGTCGATGCGTTGGGCGTTGCGTGGGGGGGCTAGAGGGCCCGCGTAGCTGCCCAGGCCCAGTAAGCTTGCTGTCTACGCCTCAGGGTCTTACAGATCGGTCCCTCCTGCGCCGTCCCCGGCGGTGTTCCGACAGTGGCAGTCTCAGATCGCCTGACGTCTCTGGACCAGTCCCACGGGATCCACGTGCTACCGTCACTAGCGTGAGGCCGTCGAGGCAGTTCTGATGGTGGTCTGCCTCTCCCTCTGTGCGCTCCGAGCTGTACCGACTCCCCGCTTCGGAACCGGAGACGGACCTGCTTCCTGGGTTGGGACCGGAGCGGGACCTGCTCCCTGGCTCGGGGCCGGAGCCGGACCTGCTGAGCCCCCCCCCCCCTCCCCCCCCCCCCCCAACGACCGGCCTGCCGGTACCGCCGTGCCGACCGAGCTGGCCGTGCGGCCTTCTCTCCACCGGTCCGACCAGCGTCTAGTGTGGGCCTGGTGACACAAAGACTGGCGGGTGGGATGCAGTGCACTCTGAGAGAGAAAGACTCTGACGTCGCTCGCGCGATGTCTCGGGGCGATTTTGACGCTTAATGTCGGCCGGTGCAATAGAGGTGTCGTAAAGGAAAGTTGGCTTTTTGTGGTTGAGACCATGGCTCGCTCGTGGCGGTAGTCATAAAGGTCATGAGGAACGACCCCCGCCTCGTCCCCGCCTCGTCCGCACCTGAGTATGAATCAGCATATGTTTATTCAGCCACATACAGATGATGGTGGCATTCGCGCAAGTGAGGTGGATGAAGTCCGCTGGGGTTGTTATGTAATTCTTAAACTGAATGCGTAGCTAACCGTGACAGATGTTTGGTCTTGGCAGCGGGACGGTTTAACGGTTCATTTCAGTTCATTCATCAGTTCATTCATCAGTTCATTTATCAGTTCATTCATCAGTTCAGTTCAGTTCATCAGTTCACGGCCGGCGCGTGTCAAGTGCTGAGCTGGCCGACAGCAGGCCGTCACGACCGGGCGATAAAGCGTACTTGTAACCAGCGCTGACCAATCAGAAGCGAGGCGTGTTGACCAATCAGAGGCGGCGGAGAGTGCTGACCAATCGGCGGCGGCGCAGCGTCGAAAGCGACCAACGGATGCCCACGCTACGCGCAGCACTGAGAGCCCGCCAGACGCTGGTCAATCAGATCAGACGCTGATACAGCCCGTCATGCGCCGGGCCGCGCAACAGGCACCGCTGAAAGTCAGAGTCGGCTCGACAGCTGCAGCTCGGCTGCTTGACCTTTTTGCCTGCTCGGCCCGCCTGCGAATGTCGGCCAAGGCTGCGTCTGCGCCGAGCGGACGGCGGCCCCGCCCGGTCAGGCTGTGTTCTCGGCGAGACGCGTTGGAAGGCTGCTCGGATAAACGGCACGGTTTCGGTCGGGGCGGCGCGGCGGCGGCGTGCTGACTGAACGGGCCTGATTGGGTGCGACTCGCGCCAGAGCGCACGGCTGAGTGGGCCGGCCGGGTCGGGTGTGTTCGCTCCCTGCTGTGGTCCCCGGGCGGGCTGTTGGTCCTCTGCGACAAGCGGGGTATCTGTGTATCCATGTAAATACGGCCATCGAATGCAAACAGTTATCTTAGATTCGGCGTGTAGGGCTCCACTGTCGATGATCAGATGTGATGGCTCCTGTCAAAGCATATCAAACCTATCATATATTAGCATATCAAACCTAAGCGAACACTGTCCCGAAGGGTGCACGAATGATGCGTGAAGGATGCACCATAACCCCACCGGTTAGCAACTAAATAAGGGCATCACTCCGTGACTGTCATCTCCCCTCGTTGGTGACTGTGGAAGGGAATAATCTGTAAATTATGACCGTACACCAAACTCGGAGCGAATGCGCACTGCCTCGCTGGATAACCGAGACTCCCCCCCCCCCCTTGCCATGCTGTCATCTAGTCACCGATAGACCAAACAGCCGCGGCGTGGCCCGGACCCCGGCGGCAGCACGTGCTCCAGCTCTTGCGCACCTCTCCAGCTTCACGGGGCCGTGTCCGGGCGCGGAGTCGACGGGCCGGAAGTGGCCGACATCCGGCTTGCTGCATCGGTTAGCGCTCGTCACGGCTGCTGGCTGCGCACACGGCTTGTTCGGTGCTCACGGCTTGCCGGCGTTGGTTGGTGCTCACGGCTTGCCGGCGTTGGTCGGTGCCCACGGCTTGCCGGCGTTGGTCGATGCTCACGGCTTGCCGGCGTTGGTCGGTGCTCACGGCTTGGCGTTGGTCGGTGCTCACGGCTTGCCGGCGTTGGTCGGTGCTCACAGCTTGCCGGCGTTGGTCGGTGCTCACGGCTTGTTGGCGTTGGTCGGTGCTCACGGCTTGTCGGCGTTGGTCGGTGCTCACGGCTTGTTGGCGTTGGTCGGTACTCACGGCTTGTCGGCGTTGGTCGGTGCTCACGGCTTGTCAGCGTTGGTCGGTGCTCACGGCCGGGGCCGCCTGCAGAGTTTGGCAAGGAGAGAAACAATTCAAAATTTCTGACGAGTAACCAACGTTTTAAGGGCGTTCTAGATGTGGGATACCACCTGCGTGTTGTAGAGCAAGGTTTGTTTTCAATTTGCTTATTTTCACGTATCTATGTCGATATGTTATCTGTCGGCATACGCGTGCACTTGCACACGCATCTATGCATATGAAGATGCGATGAGGGCACGCACCCCCGGCGCCCCCCTGAACGCGCCCCTGCTCACGGCGCGTCTGTGTGCCCCGGTCCGGGCCGGAGCTGGGACCAGAGCTTGTGGCTAGGACCCGGCGGAGGCCGCTCGGCTCCGCGCGCGCGCGGTCGTCGGCCCGCCAGAGCGGAGACAGCCGCACCAGGCGCTCGCTGGCCCGCTGCTGTCCATGTCGATCGGCGTCACCGCGGGCGGTTCTCAAACAACGAAACTTCAGTGAAGTGGCCTGAGATACAGGCAGTTAGATGACGAAAATGAATTTGAATTGAGTTTTGTTCCGTGCGGTTAAAGCGGCGCACGTTCATGGCTGTGTCTTGCGGCCCGGACGGAGCTTGCGGGCGGCTCGTGCCAGGGGGCAAGGACCGCGTGATGGCGGTGTAACGACGTCCGCGCACCAGCCGCTCCGTGCTATGAGACCGTTCATTATGCTCACACTAATGCATGTCATTAATTAAATTAATTACGTGTAAACTGCTGCCAAGTCAGCCGTTCCGCCGGCTGGAACAAAGCCCGTGAGTGGCCATGTGTCTTACCGTCTAATGATATCCTACCGTGGTGAAAATGAGCTGTTTTCATGTCGCATCGACGTTCTCGGTCGTTCTGCGAGAGGTGGGAGGGAGGTCGACCATCGGTAGGACGGGCCCAAGTTCAAGTCGCTGACTCTGGAGGTTTTCCTTGGAGATATCGCGACTATCGGGAGTGCTGCGTATCCATGGCACTCTTTGTTATGGCATGTCCGGATAACGGATATTGAGCGCCTGAGTTTGCTTGCGATATTAGCAAATACCCATACACCGTATGGCACGGCCACACACGAACAATCCAACGTGCACAGAGGCTCATGTTCTCCCCAGGAAATTGGGTAGGAAATCGCTCGGACGCATCGTCGAAGTCAGCAGGAAGGCGGTGGAAATGGAAGTAGCTGAGGCTACATAGTGCGCCGCGCCGCGTCACTGCACTGCGATCCTTCCATGCGGTCCGGTCGCTCGCCCGTCCGCCGCGTTACGCGCTCTGTGAGGACGGCATCGGGCAGGGCCGGGGCATGAGGACGGCATTGGGCAGGGCTAGGGCATGATGACATCGGGTAGGGCTAGGGCATGATGACGATATCGGGTAGGACTAGGGCATGATGACGACATCGGGTAGGGCCGGGGCATGAGGACGAGTCAGGGAATCAGGGCGGCATCGGGCAGGGCCAGGACAGGAGGGCGGCATCGGGCAGGGCCAGGACAGGAGGGCGGCTTTGGGCAGGGCCGGGGCAGCCGGCGGGGCAGCGGCATGTCGGCCTCCGCCGGCCGGCGTGACGTCACCGCCGCCGCCGTCTCCGCCGCCGCCGTCTCTGGGCTGCCGTCTCTGCGGCGGCGGCGGCGGCGGCGGCGGCGTCCTGGCCGCTCCAGTTAGGTACTGATCTGTATCGGTCTGCCGCCGCCGCTGGAGGCTGAGAACGGAGCCGTGAGAGCGTCGCCCGGACCGCGCGGCCGTCTCGGCCGGACACGGGTCGCTGTGTCCGCCCGGCCTCGACGGTCATGCGGACATTGCGGCCGCCGCAACCAGCGTCTTTTGTTGCGAAATGGAGACATGCTTTCAGATGGCTGAGGCGTGCTCATTAATTTAGGATTTCACAAAGACGTGCGCCGCGCAACTTTTGAAGCGAGCTAACATTATGAACTGCATTGCGGCAGCTGATGAGCATAATGCACTGTGTACCGTGTGGAACCGCCGAGACCCACAACCAGCCTCTCTCCCCCTGGTGTCGGGTTTACACGTCACGTCAACAAGAAACACCGCCACTGCCGAGAATTGAACCTTCAACCTTTCTCTTTGTGCGGCAGGGCCTGCAGCGAGACGTGACGACGCTGCTGGACTTCCGGGACCACGTGCTGGACTCGCTACCGCGGCTGCCCAGTCCGCCGAGCGAGCCGCCCTGGAAGCACGGCCCGGCCACGCGGCCGCCGCCGTCAGCACCGCCCTGGCGGCCTCGGTGAGATGTTGTGACTGAGGCGGCACGGAGCACTTGGGAGCGTGATTCGGGGACGTAGCCAGGGGAGCGGGGGGGGGGGGTAAGGGGCGTGCACCACCCACGCCCCTCCCCTCTCACCTCTGAGCAGAGAGGCTTACACTGGGCACTGGGCGGTTTCGCAGGAATTTGATTTAGATTCTCATGCTTTGTGTTTTTGAAAACTGCCTTTGCCTCTCCCAAGGGAATTTCGGTCACGCCTTGGTGTAGTGTGAGATGCTGCTCTCCGTCCCCCCCCCCCCCCCGTGGTGGGATTGTTATCGCCGGAGGGGACGGGACGACTCGGCTCGGGCGAACATGAACTTCTGTCCCCAATCACCCTACGCGTATGGATCGTCTCTATATGATTCGTATTCTTCCGATGAAAACTGGGGGCGATATATGACCATGATGCTGCCCGAAAGTCCATCTAGCCGGTGAACTGACCGCTTGGAACCGGGTTTCTCGTGTTTCGGGTCAGACTGTGACGAGGTCCGGCCTGCCGCCCTCCGTTAGAGCCGCGCGGCGACGGCGGCGTTGTTTCGGGTCAGACTGTGACGAGGTCCGGCCTGCCGCCCTCCGTTAGAGCCCCGCGCGCGGCGGCGTTGTTTCGGGTCAGACTGTGACGAGGTCCGGCCTGCCGCCCTCCGTTAGAGCCCCGCGCGGCGGCGGCGTTTCTCGTGCCCGGCCGCTGCCACCTGCGGCGCGGCGCTGACGGAGCTGACGACGTCACCAGCTCCAGCAGTCCTGCTGAAGCTGATGACGTCATCAGCTCCAGCAGTCCTGCGGCGTCGTCTGTCGGCGTAGCCTTGCGATCAGACACTGGTCAAGACGATTGGACAGTGATCATTTTTTTCTGACGCTGACACGACTGCCGACTTCATCCCGGGCCTAGCTGTTGGAAATGGCGTGCCGTTTAGGGGTGTTTTTAAATTTTAGACGATGCAGTGACATTGGCTGTGCTATGATTGGCTACCTTGTCCGTCCGTCACTCCATGTCTGCTGAACTTGGCCGCTGGCTGCCGCCTTCGCCGGCGTTATAGCGTGTTGTGACCTTCGAACTCCTGCGGCCGCCTGACATTGCAGCGAATGGCTTAACCGCTGCTGCTGAACCATTACGCTCGGGTAATGGTCGTAATAAGGCCTGTTTTGAGTTGTGGACCGGGTCGTTTCGGTCGCGTGCTGCAGCCGGTTATCGGCGGTGGCACGCGTCACGCGCCGGGGCCGGGTATTGGACCAGGACGGCTGCTGGGCCCGCTGACGTGTCCTGCCCACACCCAGTTGGGTTCATCAAGCGAAATGTCTATCTTAGGCACGTGAGATCCAGCCGTGAAAGTATGCGGGGCACAGAGCATGCTTCACCGGTTCATCCAATGCATCAGTGACTTAAAAATCCAAGATGCGGTAGAATTGGGACGGTTTGTGGCCCGCGCGCTTGCAGCGTGAGATTTATAGCCGATATCAGTTTTGCCAATTTTGAACAGAATTGCGCGCGGGCTTCACAACACCTGCAGCTCCGAGGCCGGTCAATATGAGCCGGGCATTGTTACAAGTCTGTCAGCATGGCTGTACAGCTGTGGCCAGCGCCGAAGGTCAGGCAACCAGCTAGATGGCGACACTTGCATCTGTTCGGCCCGTGTCCAGAGGCGGATCAAGGACCTCCGAACCAGGGCCCGGACGCCGGTTTTCAATATGGCTGGTTCTACCTCGGCTAGCCGACAATATGGCGGCTTCTGCAGTCGGTTCGTGCTGCTCGTGGAGTGCAACACAGATCTCCTCAGATTGGTCTGCGGCCATTTCAGATAAGAAAAATGTCAATTTTGTACGAACGCACATGAAGAAAGCATACGCATCATTTTCTCCCGTGCGTGATTTTTCCTTAAGTGTGAGGCATGGCTGCGCCCCCGCTGCGGGAGAGATATCCATGCTTGCCGTCTGACGTCTGCCGTCTCCCAAACCGACGCTGTCACTTCTCAGTCGCTGGGGTTTTGAATACTGTCGCCCTCGATCCGCATCACTTAAGTGATGTCCGGGCCATCTGATAGCTCATGGGCCCGCCAACCAAAAAGCGTCAGTCCTTGCCAGCGTGGCATAAGAGTGCCTGCCGGAACTGAGTCCCGGCTGAGCCCCCCCCCCCCCATAGCCCTTAACCGCGGTGTGTCGCCCTCGAGCCGCCCACGCCGCCGTCCCGGGGCATTCGCCGGCGGCCCGTCAAACACCTGGGGTGGCGCCTGTGACGGCCGGCCGTCACACCACCTGTGACGGGTCACGTGGCGGAGCCGCGTGACAGGCGGCCCGCCGCCGAGCAGGTGCGCTGACCCGCGACCCGCATGGGCCCCCGGCTCTGGCCGCTGGATAAGGCTCGGTGCTTCTGTGGAAGGTAGTGGTTTTGTCTCTTTTGCGCGGGGAATAAGGCTGTCCGCATTCTTTGTGGAAGAGTGTTTTGCGTTGTTTACTCAGACGGTAGGCGTTTGCGTGCAGTACGTATTAATAACGTCTCGTCTGGTTTGTCTGCGTTCAGTCTACCTGCGAAGACTGTCATGGACCGATCTTTTTATAAAATGTTACGTTATCCAGCCCGAAAACCGCCCCGCCCCGCCTGCTGCGGTGTGTGGAAACACGCCGCAGCAGACTGCTGCCCGCCACGTGACGACGCGCCGTGGGAGGCGTTGCGGATGAGAGCCCGCAGAAGTGGTAATATGGCGGGGGATACATAAGCCCGCAGCGACGTTGTTGATCCGTTTGTTCAGCGATTGGGTCGTGTTGTTTGCAATTCAGTCGTGAGCGGTCATTGATAATGCTAACTGTTATCAATATCCAAGTGCTGATGATGATCGTTATCAATAGAAAATTAGCATCGCTGGTAATCTATGAGTGTGTCATTGGGAGTTTGCTCGTTCACAAATCTCAAGTGACGCGATCGCACCGTATTGGTAATTTGTGACCCGCCTGAATCAGCTAGCGTGGGATGCTCCCGCCGCCAGACGCGCCGCTTCCGACGCGACTGTGGCGACGCTAGTCCCTCCGGAGTCGCACGCGTCATTACATAACCCGACGGCTACACCGCGCGGCGCTCAGCGCCGTCCCTCTGACGTCACGAACGCCGCCCTCACACGGACCCTCCGTCCGGCAGAGACTCCGGCTTCGGCGGCGGTGATCAGGAGCCGATGGGGGCGCCGCGGCCTCGCGGTGCGCCCGCCACCACGCTGCCGGCCGCCTCGCCCGCCGCCTCGCCGTCCGCCTCGCCGGCCGAGCTGGGCGCCGACTCGCCGTCGGCGTCGGCGGCGGCGCCGGCGAGCGGCGGCGCGCCCGCCTCGCCCGCCTCGCCGGCCGGCGAGTCGGACGGCGAAGCGGGGCCGCTCTCGCGCTGGCACGACGCCGGCCAGAGCGGCGCCAGCGGTAACTCGACCAGCGGCGTGGGCACCAGCGTCGGCGGCCCGGGCGTGAGCGGCGCCACCAGCGAGGGCGCCGAGCCGCGCTGGGCCGACGGCGACGAGCTGCTGGGCCTGCTGGACGCCATTGCCAGCCGCGGCCGCCGGCTCTGCGACGAGAACCGACAGCTGGCCGAGGTGCTAAGCCACACCGAGCTGGCCGAGCCGGACGAGGCGGACGCGGCCGAGGAGGAGCCCGACGCCGGCGACCCGAACGTGACGTTCCGATGCCGCTACTGCGAGCGGCCGCTGCCGGCGCGCGCGACGCCGGCCGACCCGACGCGGCTGGCACCCGGCGGCGACCCCGTCACGGACGCCCTGAATCTGAACGTGCATCGCGGCGTCCGCTCGCCGCTGCTGGAGACGCAGTCGCCGCTGCTGCTGGGACACTCGCCGCTGCTCGGAGGACAGTATCCCCCCGGGGCGGCGCCGTCGCCCCTGCTCACGGGACGCTCACCGCTGGCAGGAAGGTAAGAAGCGCCTGCTTTTCCTTGTGCTCACCGCTGGCTGGATGTACGAATGATGCACGAAGCGTCTGCTGTGCTGTCCTGTTCTGTTCTGTGTGCCGGTTGGCTGTCGTGACCGCGTTCAGTTCATCAGTTCACGGACGTCCCAGGCTCCGTGCCTGACTGCGCGCAGGCGCCGGGCGTATAGCGGTTGTGGACAAGCCGGTGGGAATGTCCGTTTAAGTCCGGTTACGACGCGCTTCTGCCGGTGGCTCTGTGGCTTTTGGCTTCACCTGGCGGTGTCTTGAGATCGGTGCGCCCCGCCGTGTCTCAGATGGGTGCGTCCCGTGGGTGCGTCATTCCGCACCCATCCATGTCTCATGGATGGGTGCGTCAGCCGCGGTGCGTCCCAGGCCACCGGGAGCCGTGCCAGGGCCCGGCTGTCGCGCCGCTGGGGGGACGGGCGAAGTCGGTTCGACCCAGCGCGGCGGCCCGCTCAAAGTGGCGGACTGACGGCGGCACCGAGCGTGCGGTCCAAATTGCTAGGTGACACGCCGTCTCCGTCAAAAACCAACCATGCGGTGACGGCCCTGGCAGGTGTCGGCGTGTGGCTACTCACATTGAGGTGACCTTGTCATGGTCTTTTGGCGGTGTTCTGCACGTGAAAAGAACGCGCGCCAAAAGTCGCCGTTCGTCTCACGACGTACCAAATGTTATATAATGACTGGATATGTTCCGCCCGCTCGTCGTTAACCGTTATTATCGCTGACGATGGTCGAGGAAAATGTATGGTGTTCACATAGTTCTAACAGCGTGTCGTCATACAACTCTTCAAACCATCGCATGGAAAAACGCTCTGCATGTGCTGTACACCGGCGAAGCGCTTCGCCGGGGGAGGGGGGGGGGGGGGGGGGGCGTCGCACCCCGCTTCCCCCGCCCGCCCTAGATGGGCGCCGCGGCGTGGCGGCCGCCGCAGCGGCGCGCTGTTCCTCCGCCTCATTGCGATTGGTTGCTGAGCACGGTGACGTCATTGGATAGCGTGAGGGTTTTGTGTTGCGTGAGGCTGGCGAGGTTTGTAGGCCCATGTGTGCTTGTGTGGGGTTCTGTGTGTTCTGGTGTCGGAGGTATCTGCCTGCACGTGTCAGGACACATGTATGGTTTGCAAAAAATATTAGATTTGTGAGATGTAAAGACATGCCATGAAACTTGTGAGATCGGGTAAGTGATAAACGTATGTCTGCCTTCATGCTGCTTTTTAAACATACCGCCTCGTCCTTTTCGTATTCCTGGTTACCCATAAAGGATCGCAGAACAGCTAGGGCACGGTATGGGCTAGTTGGGGGAGGGGCATTCGCTGGTCGCCCCCCCCCCCCCTCCCAACCGCGGCAGTCGGCCTGAGCTATGATGACGCTAACGGACTTGGAGCTGCACGCGTCGTCAAACCTCAGTAACTACTGTTATGACTGGACACCGGCTACAGAGCCATAGTGTCAGCGTCTTTCCCGGCAGTTAGGCCGTGTTTACCTGGACGCTACCTCACATGCACGTTGGCGCGCGCCCGCAATGTATGTCAACACGCCGCGCCCGAGCGGGTTTGCGTGGCGGCCGCGCGGCGCGGAAGTAATCTGCGAGCGATGCGGGGTTTCTGGACGGCTGCGTCGCGTTACGTAAGGCGCCGGCGGCGGCGGCCGCGGCCCTGTTCTGCTCGCTGGCGCTCGAACGTGCCTCGCTGGGGTCGCCACCGTGCGCGTGGGTCTTGCTGTCTCCATTTTGCCAATTGTTGCCAGCGGTCTCCCTGCCCTTCGCGATCACTGCCGTATTTGCTGGCTTCGCCTGTGACGGTGGTGGCTTGTGAGACAACTTCGAGTTGTCGTTCAGATCGGTTAGGACGTGCAGTTTCGCTGAGTTTGAATCGACAGCGTACTCAGTGCCTCGGGCCCTGTCTGTGTATACGACGTAGGCAATGTGTGCTGACCAGGCGTGTCGTTCGAGTCAGGCCACACCTTCTCTGGGTGTGTGTGTGTGCGTGTGCGTGTGCGTGTGCGTGTGCGTGTGCGTGTGCGTGTGCGTGTGTGTGTGCGTGCGTGCGTGCGTGCGTGCGTGCGTGCGTGCGTGTGTGTGTGTGTGTGTGTGTGTGTGTGGCCGGTGTTGCGTTCGTCGGGTCTCGAAGGCCTTGCTCAACGGACACGGAGGGAATGCCTGCGCAGCAGTAGGACACTTCCCGGATGTGTGCGGCTGATGTGCTCCGGAGTGTGAACGAAACATTCGTCAGATTTGCGGCGCCAGCGGACGGAAAGAAACTGTGTCGCGAATCGTAAAACTGGGAGGTACAAAGCACTCGTGCGTCACTGTGACGTCACGGTGGCGTCACCATAACGAAAGGGAACAGGCCTCACCACATCTGTGGAGTGCAAGCGGTAAGAGGCCATAGAGAGCGCATATTGGCCCCGATCTCGCTGCTTCTTCAGACGCCAGTTGTGCAGATGCTCACCTGCGTTCACCTCAGCCGTTGGGAGTGAGCTGCCGTTTTGTGATTGTTGTGCTTGTGTTTGTGTTTGTGGCGCCGATTGCTGTCTTTGTTGTGCTTGTGTTTGTGGTGGTGATTGTTATCTTCGTTGTCTGTGTTTGTGGTGCTGATTGCTATCCTCGTTGTGTTTGTGTTTGTGGTGCTGATTGTTATCATCGTTGTGTTTGTGTGTGTTGGTCGCGATGTGCTCAGATTCAAACGTCATCATTTGCGTCAGTCCATCCCACGTGATATTTTTATCACGGACAACGACCTTGATTGCAAGTATAACCATGATAACGACCGTGGCATTTTACTAATGAAGCCGATTGTGGTTATTTTGACGATGACACTGCTGATGATCATCATAATGGCACCGGTCATGCCCCTGATGGTGGTGTAGAGCATGATAATGTCGATTATAACTGATGTCGAGTGTAATGATGTCGATTGTAACTGGTGTTTATTCCAACTGATGTCAAGTATAACTGACGTCACTTATAACTGGTGTCTATTGTGACTGACTTCGATTATAACTGATGCCGATTATAACTGAGTCGATTCTACCTGCTGATTATGTTAGTGGAGGTGATGATGATGATAATGCTGATGCTGACGCTGATGTTGATGCTGATGCTGACGGCGCCGCTGCCGGCAGGTCGCCGCTGCTGCAGCCGCACGGCGGCGCGGCCGGCGACTATCCGCCCCCGCTGAGCCTGCCGGTGCTGCGGCCCCGGGACGAGTACATCTCGGCGCTGACGGAGGTCGAGCGGCTCATGCAGGAGCGCGACCTCCTGCTGGAGCGCCTGCTCGCCATGGAGCTGGTCAGTGCCCGACGCAGCGCGAGGGCTGGGTTCGATTCCCAGCGCGGGAAGATTTTGTCTGCCACGGTTTGGCGTAGGAAGTGTGGGATTCAGATGGATTGGGATTGGAGTGGGATTGGAGGATGGAGTGGGATTGTGGGATGGTGTTTGGGTTGGATTCGCGACCGCGGAAGAATGCGCGGCGCTGATTTTTCTCTTCTTTTTTTTTGCATTGCGGCGTGGCGACGTCGGGTGTCGTGGCAGTTGCTCGCAGCGGAGGTGGCGAAGCGGGGAATACGTTGTGTTGACGCTGGCTATCGCGTCAGTTGTGCGCCTAGATAATTAAGATAGCATTGCCGCACGTAAATGCAACTGAAGGTATCTTCCCGAGGAGAGCCTCCGCGGGCATCGCTACGTGCCTAGCTGTGTGCCTAGATAATTAAGATAGCATTGCCTCACGTAAGTGCAACTGAAGGTATCTTCCCGAGGAGAGCCTCCGCGGAGGTGGGTCTGGTCAGCCGCCCGGAGCGAAAGCCGGTAAACATGCCGGCGCTGTCAGCACCCAGCCCGCAGCCGATCATGGAGCCGCTCAGACCCCATCGCTTCGTGAGAGAGCTGGTGTTCTGGTCCGAGCTGGATAATTGTCATCGCTTCTGAGACGTCACACGGACCGTACCGCCGCCCTCCGCCGTTGGGAGCGCTGTCATGGCAACACCTGCGCGCTGCCACCTCGCGCCGGGTGACCGGGTGGGAGCGGCATCTCCGCCGCCGGACCAGGACCACCGGCATTCGTTCGGCGATGGGCGGAGCTCCGGTGGGCGTGGTCGCGGGGTGGGCGTAGCCTGCGGCGTGGCGTCCGTGAGGGGGCCGTTGGGGCGGCGCGTCCTTGGGCGGTGCCGCGGTCGGCTGAGCGCGCTGAGTGGTCCGGCGCGGCTCGGCGCGGCCGCCGGAGGAGGCCCGGCCGCGGCCGCCGCGCTGGCAGCGTGCCGTGATGCGGGCCGCGCTGGCGTGAGCGGGCGCGGCGGAGACGGCGGCGGCGCTGCTGTGAGTTCTGGAGGAGTGCGAGAGTGACTGGGCGCCGTGGAGGAGAGGTGGAGAAGAGTGGCGGGGTGCTGTGAGTGGGGAGTGAGCAGGCCTGGCCGGCCTGGGCGCTGAGGTCGTGTGCAGTCTGGTGGTGTGCAGTCAGGTCTGGTCTGGTCTGAGGTCTGGTGGAGGAGGGACGATGCAGCGGTTGAGCGTGTTGGGTGCTGCGGAGAGGTGCGGGAGGTGCGGATCGGCTATTTTTGAGCTGGGGACCATTCTCCTCGGGGCAATCGCTGACTGCCGACTGTTAACGGGAGCCGACTGTTAACGGGAGCCGACTGTTAACGCGTCGGGAGCTCGGGGACGCATCTCTAGTAACCTGAGGACGTGCCGGTCGCTTCTCGCCTGTGTAACGGGACTTTTTGGCGTTCGAGGTGAAACGGAGAAATCTTATTTTTTTAAGGAACCGTGACGCGCATCGTCACGCCACTTTTATGGGACGCAAGCGACTGTGATGATCGTATTAGCGCTCAGGGACCATGGCGCAATCGGGATCGAAACGCAGGCCCCCACTTGAGAGTCCGACGATGTAACCATTCGGCCATGACGCCCCCCAAACGGAGAAATCAGGGCTGTTGGGAAGGGCACTGGTTGCTGCTGTACTGGCTGCGTTCGTACGCTTGCCACGATCGCTTGTGGTAGCACTCCGAGAGTGAATATGAGTGTTCTGAGACAGCGGTGAGTGCCGCGCGCCTGCCGAACCGGTGTTGCGCCCTCGACACGTGCGCCCGCAGCACGTGTCGAGGACTTGCGTGTCGGCTGTGCGGCACACGCGTCGCGGTCCTCGTGGCTCGGCCGTTCATGCAGACAGCTGTTGCGAAACGTGTCTGGCTTAGCGGGCAGGGAAGGGAGTCTCATTGCGTACCGAATCCACCCGAGGTTTTAGGGAAGCATCGGAATCGGCCGTCCCAATGGGGGAGGGTTGTTCCATGCTGTGTGTTGTCGGCCCCCGTGATTAGGCACTCTTTTCATAGGGTTTACGCTGACTGGCCGCTGGAATCGACTGGGGGTGATCTACCCCGTGACATTTGTGTGCTTTGTGATCGAACTGTGCGACATGCCCTGCGATTCACACCATGAGTCCCATAAGAGTGGTGTTGTGCCCATCAGGATATTGCACTGAATGTTTCACAGTGTTTCCCCTTAGGTAGCAGCATTGTCGCAGGCGTACATTGCCCGCGTAACTCCCGTTGTCTCTCCTAGATGTCAGCACCGTCGCTGGCTCACCTCCCCGCGTTAACTCGGCGCGTCGTCGCCAGGTGGCGGTGCGGTCGCAGGGGCAGGCCGCCAGTCTCCAGACCCGTCTGCAGATGGTCTCGGCCGCCAACGAGGAGCTGCGCCGGGAGCTGCGCCTGGCCAGCTCCGGGCGCTGCGAGCTGGACGCGCGCATCCACGACATGCACCAGCAGTTCGTGCGCACCCGGCGGCCGCGCGCGACGCCGGCGCCGCTGGCCAGGTCGACGCCCGACCTGCGGCTACCCTCGCGCATCCCGCAGCCGCTGTCGCTGCGGAAGCGGACGGGCACCGAGCCGGCCTCGCTGCGGCCGCCCGGCTCTGCTGCTGGCGCTGGTGCTGGTGCTGGTGCTGGTGCTGAGGGCGGAGCTGGCGCAGGCGCTGGGGTCCTGGCGGCGTCGTCTGCGTCCGCCGCGTCCACCGCCGCCGCCACCGCCGGCGCTGACGCTGCCGCCCCGTCGGCGGCGGCGGCAGAGATGGCGAGCCGCCACACGCAGACGGAGCCGCCAGCCGCGGCGGCGGGCGGGCGGCCGCGGCCGGACCGTGCGCGCGTGGCGGCCATTCTGCGCGAGTCGGACCCGCAGCGGCTTCAGCGCCAGCTCCTGCTCATGCTGGTGGAGGCTGAGGTGAGAGGAGAAGAGGAGCGGGCCACATGCGGGGCGGGGGCCGGGCGGTAGGGGTAAGTGGCGGCCCGGAGAAAGCGTGGTGAGGGGACGGGGGAGGGGGGAGGGGGTCCACCAGTGTGCTACACGTCTCGTTTGGCGCGAAGAGAGGTCTAATAGCGATGTGTTTAAGCGGAAGCAACGGGGTGCATGTCAGTAGCGAATCACGTTATGTGCGGGTGTTTGTAACGACTACAGGTCGGCGGGATGGCAGGTGTTTCCTCAGCTGAAGAATGACAAAAGTGAAGGGTGTCACTTGAAAGTGGATTGGGTGGATTGACCACGTGAGTTGGGTGGGCGAGGAGGGGCCGGGTATGTGAGAAATCTGGAGCTGTTAGAGAGACATGTCCTGTTAGCGTAGACACTTGTCGGGAGGTGGCTCGTTTGCAGGTGAGCGTGTTTGTCCCGTGATTAACACGCGTTTACCACCACGCGTGGTAGCGAGCTTGTTCATCCTGCATGGGTCATCATGCTGTAACTCTCCACCTGGTCATCACCAGTTTCATGGAGTCGCACATGGTGTAGGACATCACGCGGCGCGGCTGATTCACGGGCAGGGTCTGCTTCCCAACGTCCTTTACGTAGTCCTGCAGCACGCCCTGTTACGGGCGGAGGACTTGGCGCGTGTTGTGGCCGCCAGGATGGCTTGGTTGGTCCGGTTTGTGCGTGCCATGCCCAGTCGCGCGCGCCAGTGGTGACATCTGCCGGGTGCGTTCCCAGGTCCTGCGCAGTCAGCTGGCGGCGCTGGGTGGTGACCCTAAGCGTGACCCCGGTGGCGGTGACCTCGACGCGGCGCCTGAAGCCGACCCCCGCAATAAGGTGGCCGCCCTGCAGCGAACCAACGGTGATCTGCGCCTGCAGGTGCGGCTTCGGCTTTGATAGCGCGCCAGGGTGCGGTCAAAGTCGCGCCAAGTTTTATTGCAGTGCGGGTGGATGCCGCTTGAGACATACCGCGAGTACCAACGCTGTGTCCAACATTTCGCATTCAAAATGCCCGGCGCGTGGTGTGTTTTTCTGTGTGTCTTACGATTGGTATAGATAAGACAGTAATAATAGCCTTATTCCTCGGAGAAAAACCGGAAGAGTAGAGATATAGTTAGGTTGATATTTCGACAATATGCTTTTCTCGAAACAATACTATTATTTCGATAAACTACAATACAACTATTGTTTTGATAAACACATGTTGCCGAAGTATTAACCCAACTATATCTCCATTCTCCTGGCGTTCCCCCGAGGAATAAGCCTGCTACTATTGTCTTAGCTATGTGAATAATGTTCCTCGCTAATGCATTGAACGACCTTACGATTTGTGTTGAAGCGCCGCTCGGTTATGCCATCCACATTTCGGATAAATATGACATACATGCGCAACACCCCAAATGATATGAATTACGTATTTTGGTCTGTTATGGGCGGATTCTTAAACAGGATGCTGTACTGGTGCGGAGAACATAAACCAAAAGTATCTTGAGCCAGAAACAGTCACATGCCTTTACGGCTTCCTCAATACCAGTTTTTTAAAAATAAAAGCATTTCGCAAAGCAACGAAATCTTAAGTCACGTGTTTTACCTGCGCCCATGATAATCCCAATGGAAAAAAAATTCGGCCCCAAACAGCGCGCACCTACGCCACAGGGGGGGGGGGGGCGCACGAACGGTGACAGATCGCATGTGAGGGGCTCACGCGAAGCGAACGACACGCGGAACAGAGATAGCGCAAAGGGCGGATGCCGGGAGGCCGGGTACAAGCTGCCACGATGAATACGTGGGTTTAGGTCTGGTTTGGGGTGACGAACTAGACCTGAACACCGGTGTAGCACTGTTGGATTTGCCGCTTGCTGTAGCGGTTCGAGGAGCTCTTTCGTCTTTGTTGTCGAATAACGCAGGCATTTTTACCTAGCTGGAGCTTGTCTTGTCTTGCCTTGTCCTAGCCGGAGCTTGTCTTGTCTTGCCTTGTCCTAGCTGGAGCTTGTCTTGTCTTGTCTTGTCCTAGCTTGTCTTGTCTTGTCTTGTCCTAGCTGGAGCTTGTCTTGTCTTGTCTTGTCTTGTCTTGCTGGAGCTTGTCTTGCGGCAGCGTAACCCATCTGCTCCTAGACAACTTCTTGTTACTCACAAAATATGGCGATTTTCTACTCCATCTCGTCCATCCCGTCCACCCTGTCCACTCTGTCCACCCCGTCCAGCCCGTCCAGCCCGTTGTTCATCTTCCGGAGTCGAGCTGCCTTTCGCGCACCCCGCCTGTCATTACGCCGCCGGGCCTGGGCCTGACCTGACCTGGCCGTGGTCTTTGGCGGCAGCTGGAGGAGCGCCGGATCGAGCTGGAGGGCACGCGCGCCCGGCTCCGGCAGCTGGAGACGCCGTCGCCGTCGCCGGCGGGCGCCGCGCGGCCGCGCGCCGGCCGGCCGGCCGCGCGCTGGGGCGGCGCCAGCCTGTCGGCCTCGCCGCACGACCGAAGCCTGGGACACTCGAGCATACCGGTGCTGGTGCGCGCGGCCAGCCCGACACGGCAGCGACGCCGGCCACGCTCCGGACACGCGTGCGACGGACAGACGGCGGCCGGCGGCGGCAGCGGCCGCGGCACCCCCGCCCCCGCCCCCGCCCCAGCCCCCGTCAGGGCGGGCGGCCTGGCGGACGCGGGGCGGTCGGAGCTGGTCCGCTCGGTGGGGTCGCTGAGCACCGGCGCCGGCGCGGGCGAGGCGGCGGCGGCGGGCGCCGGCGCCGGCGGCGATCTCGCCACAGTGCGCGCCATGCGCCAGCTGAACTGGACGCTGCGCCGCGCGGCCGGCGCGCCGCCGACGCCGCCGCCGGGCCCGCGCGGCCCCGACCGCGCCCAGGAAGAGGTCAAGACTAAGGTACGCGCCCGCGCTCTCTGCGAGCTTTGGCTGCGGACCGAAGGAAAGACCTAATCTCTCTGGCTGTCTAACTAGGCTCTGTAAGTGTGCGCGCAGGCGCCTGACGTTCTCTCACGCTAAGCACGGGTGCTCGCGGAGCAGGTGGGGGACGTCGGTGACGCACGATGGCATGTCATTCGCGCGGGGCTTCGCTCCGCTGTCTCGCAGTAACGCCCGGAGACGCCGAACCGTTGGTAGATCGCAGCTGTGACGCGGGGTGAGGACGTCATAGCGACGATTGCCGGTCGTGTGGCAAGGCGTCAAGAGCGAGGCCGCCCGGGGCGGCTTGTTGTGCGGTCCCGTCTCAGGCCGGGGCGCCGTTTGACTGGCATCGGGCCGAGTCGTTTCAATCGCGCGGCGTCGAAGACTGGCACCCCGTGAATGACATGCCGTTCAGCTCACCGCCTGGTGTTCTGGTAGCTAATAAATGTGGCATCTTGTGTGACTATCGGCATGCCCTACTAAACGGTCTGGAATCTGCACGTCTCCATGCTAACCGCCGCCTGTCTGTTGGTTTCGCCGCCACCGCCTGCGCGTTGCCGGCTTTCCCTTCGGCTCCCCGCTAGTGTTTTCTGGTCAGTTTTGCCCTGCATGGTTTCACGGCGTCTTTGCCCGCGCACAGGTGAAGCTGGACTAGGGACTGGGCTGGCAGCGATGTCCGCTGGGCAGGTAATGACTGCCCCCCCCCCCCCCCCCCGCCCCGCCCGCCCTCACCGTCACCGGCTTTCCCCTCAGTGCGGGCCGCTCTTTAGTCCTCGTCGCCTGTCTCATGTCCCGGCTCGTGTCGTCTGTAGGGCGTTCTTGTCGCGCGAGAAGAGGCTGGGAGCGCGTTTGGTGCCAGCTCAGGTCCCCACTCCGACATCGATCGCACTAGTGTTATGTTTTTGGCGGCCTGGGAGGGAGCGCAACAAAAATGCTCTGATTTGCCTGCCCTCGAGATGAGCGACGTGGTCCTGTCAGCGCCCCAGCTGTCTTGTTTGTCCCTCGTAGTCCGCAACTGGCGCTTCCCAAACGACCTCCGTCTCTCCGGAGTCGCGTTGGTCTGCCACGACACTAAATAGCACGGTGGTAGTGGGGCTTGTAACGGCTCTAAACGGATCGTGGCTCAAACCTGTGAGCAAGATGGTCTCTTATCGGTGGATTTTGTGTCGCCCTTAGTGCTAACAAACCCTGAAATTCGCGGCTGTCTTATCCTGTTGGCGTCAACTCATGTCACTTGTATTGAAAATAGAATAGCGTATAAGCGGTAAAGGGTCTGTAGGGGCCGCTGCTTCTTTGTCGGCACTTCCTCTAGCTTGCGCCTTGGTAACTGTCATGGCACCGCCACCTCTTCACAAACGAAACAGTCCTGTCGAGTGCAGCCAGTATTTCATTGGGTGAAAGTCTCACAAATGCGTATTGCATGCCAGTACGGAATAGGCTATCAGAAAGTGATTATTTTTTGGTTTCCCTAGGGTCCTTGTCTTGTTAGTTGCCCTTTTTGCACGTCTTTACCAGGCTCCTCTTATCGAGTGTCTGCACATGCTTTGTCTGCTTTTTTGGAGCGCAGACGTGCCGCCTGGGTGCGTCTTGGTTTGTTTTGCTCGACTGGTCTTGTGCTTATTGTGTTTTACTTGTTTCGTGAGCTTTGCGTTATTTTCTCCGAGACGTTTTGCTTTGCGTGACGCGATATCCTGTGACCTGCGTGCAACATATCCATATCCTGCATGCAACCACGCTTGCAATGTCCCGCTTGCAAGGAACCAGGCGTGTTGCCTGCCCGTAATCTTCATGTTCGCGGACGAACTAAGTCGTTGATTTTTTTCGCTTGCCTCGCGCGCGGCCCTCATCACCACGGCACTTCCCCACTGATTTCACAGCGCGGCAGACGCGAGGGCCGGTTGCAGCGGCATATCTGTCTGTCCGCTGACCCTCGCCGCTGTTCGCGCCACGTGCCTTTGATGCATCCCCAGCTCACCGTTCCAATGAGCCTTATTTCCGCCCGTGGTGTAGTTGGCTCCCGTGCTGGCCTTGCTTTGGTGGCCGTGTGTTTCGGTCTGGCCTCCTTGGTGACGGTGACCGCATCCCTCCGTGTTCGTCGTCGTCCTCGTGGCCGGTGACGACGGTTATGCCTACGACGACGGTTGACGGTTGTACGGTTGACGACGGTTGCCCTCGTCACGGTGTCACCCACCGTCTGAGGCCGACACATGCTGCTTAACGTCTCCGCTGAGGTGACCGCGTGTCTCCCCCGGAAGGGCACCGCCTCGCCACGGGGGTACCGACCCCCTCCGGCGGCCGTCCGTCGTAGCCTGTCAGGTTCCCCCCCCCCCCCCCCCCTCCCACGGTCACTGCTGCCGGGCCAAGGCACGTCTGACCCATCTGAGAGACACGTATGACCCATCTGAGAGACACGTATGACCCATCTGAGAGACACGTATGTGTCTGACGCTTCTGGGAGACACGTGTGACCCAGCTGAGAGCCTCATCTTACGGTAGTGTGCCGCCGACAGGCCAGGCCGGCCACAGCCGAGCCGCCCCGTTCCGCGCGCCGCCCGGCAGACTCGGCCTCCAAGATCCCGGCCACGCAGAGCCACGCTATCGGCCAGATTCTGAGCGCACTCAGCCGCACCAGCAGCGGCGGCAGCACCGGCGGCGGCGGCAGCACCGGCGGCGGCGGCAGCGGCGGCGGCGCCGGCGACGGCGACGGCGGCGCCGCAGAGCCGCCCGGCCCGGCCGAGACGCTGGCGCGTACGGCCGCCGACATCCGCGCGCTGCGTCGCGAGATGGAGCGCCGCCTGCGCGAGGCGCGTCTGGAGGCCGCCTCGCCGACCGCCTCGCTGGGCTCGTCGCGCGCCAGCCCGGAGCCGGGCCGGCGCGGCGGCGTGCTGGAGCGGCTGAGTGCCCTGGACGGCGGTGCCGACAGCCAGACGACGCCGATGCCGGCGACGGCGGCCAAGTCAGACGCTCGGTTCGGCTACCGCTACACGGGCGAGACGCGGCCGGACCCGGCGCTGATGCCGCCCAGCCAGGGCCTCATCCACCAGATCCTGACGGCGCATGCTGCGCCGCCGTCGCCGTCGCCGCCGCCCCCGCCGGCGGCGACGGCCGGGGCCGCTCGACTGCAGAAGAGCGGGAGTGTGAAGGCGGCGGCGGCGGCGCGGCCGGCGGCGCGCGTGGCACGCTCGGCGACCGTGCGAGAGGAGCGGCAGGCGCCACGGCCGGCCGGCTCGCCGCGACCGCCGCAGAAGGAGAGCGGCAACGCGCGCGTGGGCCGCTACATCCGCAGTCTGCTGCAGCGCATCTCTGAGGTCCCCGACCAGTGATGGATGGCACGGATGGGGCGGCGGCGGCGGCGGCGACGGCGGCGCGGTGGTGTGTGACGGAGGTGCGGTGTGGGCGTCGCGGTCGCGGGTCGAGAGGAGCAAGGTCTCTAGATCGCCGGCGAAATGCTGTGCTTTTCTTCAGAACGACGCGGATTGCTCTGGGCTCATACAGCAGCCTTGTGAGCTGGCTGCAAAGGCTCGAAACAAGACCCCGTGGAGCAGCCACGTTCGCCTGGGTGCGCGTCAGGGTCTTGCTCCGCTGTCGACCCCGCTCAGTTGCTGGCCTGCGCAGCTGAAGACCTGTGGCGGCTGGAGCCGACCCCCGCTCCTCCCGCGCCGGCCCCTCCGCGGCCTCTGGGGCCTCGCTACCAAAGACGCCCGCCGCCTGTCGCCTCTGCTGTGATAGTTGGCCGTCATTCCCGCGATGTCTGCATTCCTCTCCGGTGACGTCGCCGTTGGGCTCCAGTGACGTCACCGCCCGCGGTGGTGACGTCACGACGTCGCGGCGTCTGCGATGTGCAATGTTCCCGTGCAGTTCTGCGCGTCTCGGGTCGGCGGCGTAGCACGTTCTCTGTGCGGCGCCCCTGGTCACCCGGATGGGGATTTTGTCGAGCCGTCTGGAGAAATGTCCACGGCATTCTGCGGGTTTTTGAGGTTTGTCGCTGGATGTTGCGATTTTACGGGAACGGTTCGTGGTCGGGCTGCGGCTTTGGAAACGTGATACTTACCCGGGCCGGGCCAAAGACTGAGGCTGACGGGCAGGACATTGTTTTATGTATGTATCTATGTATCATATTTACAAGTGTGTGGTTCTGTGCCTTACAAAATATATGGTTGACTTGTTTGGAGTTTTTTTTTTCGCGACGGGACGTGACTGCATACGAGCCAACCGCTCCAGGAAGCGCAGTATTGTCCAGTGACGACGGCTGACCGAAGGGGGGCGCTCCGCCGGCCGGTACAAGGTGTGACATAGCGTACTCGGCGCTGGGAAGACAAACTTGACTACAGTTGAGGGAGGAGGGTCAGTTCTCCGCCAATTCTTAGCTGGCATCGCGTCCACGTGCGCCCCGGGGCCCTGGAACGTGGCGGCAGCAAAACGGCCGATTTCTGTCCAGAAGCGCGCAGATAAATTGAGATATCAGCGATATTCCCCGAGCTCCAACGGCACTCAAAGATTGCGTATTGACAGTCGGCTACGCTTTGTATGTTATAAAGGGCGAAATGCGAAGCAAACATTACGTAATTGACGACGGCGACTATCCCTGTATTGCCACAAACAGCGAATGTATTTCTGCGATCGATAGATGGTCCAGAGCGACACGACAGTTTATGAACACTACGAGAACAAAACACAGTGAAAAGACTGAGATCTAAGAACAAAACAGTCGCATTCCGGACATTGCGGAGATAAGCCTAGATTCAAAATAAACGTTAAACGCGAGGGCATGTCAGGCTTCATTTCCTAAGGCTTCCAAGACACGCAAATCCCATGTTCTCACCTTGCGTATTTCCACAAACAATACAGTCTTACGTCTGCCAGTAATGTAAGGTGAATAAATCATCA